CCTGTAAATATTGAGTACAGCAATGTGTAACCAACACCGTTGTTGTATGCACAGCAGGGTTGCGTGCAGGCCAAGTGGGGAGTATCACTGGATCGTATTATCAGCAACCCAACCACACAGTAAGCCAGTACTTGTATTTTTATTTCATATGGCAGTGGGTCTGAAGTCTCCCAGACCTCGGTATACCGATCGCCACACAGCCCATACTAATAATTCCATACAGAATTAGAATTTGATTTGATTAGCACAACACCGGATCATGGTGTTTAATTTCTGATGTCACATGGCTGTGAGGAGCCGAGTTTCAAGCATGGGGCACCCGAGATATTACAAGTACTGAGGACGAACTGATCCGGGCCTGCAAGCAGGCACATTCCTTCCCATGAGTCCGTTGTGTCACATTCGTACATGGAGTCCAGAGGACATCAGTCGACTAATGAAAGTCAAAGGAACGATTGAAGATGTGGATGGACTGTGTTCATTCAAAGTATCCAGTCGGGCCCGCCAGTACTGTGACGTTGCTGCGCACTATCGTATTCCTCTCCATGCGCTGAACAAGAAATTTGGCCTGTATAGGAAGATCGTGGCCCACCTCAGCTCTTCGTCCCATTGTAACGCTTCCCATATGCGTGATGTATATGCCTCAATCATGGACTACATGAATGAAGTACGGATTGCATTCATGGACGACGCTGCACAGTCTCCAGATGCATTGCATGGCAAATTCAGATCCCCAGCGCTCGATTACTATCTCTGGTTGGATCACATATCCAGTGGCTTTGACGCCAAGGATCGCGAAGACCTACAAGCGACTCATGGGGTGACCTTTAAACATGTGCAGAATTCAACATGTTCTGATATACTTGTGTTTCGTGCGTGTCCTTGTATCATTAATATAACTCGTATTGATCTGCTAATTAGTCGATTGGCGTGCATATCACGACAAGCAATGCAATGAGCATGACTGCTGTGGTGCACTGCAGGGTTGTGGTACCGGCGAAGACGTCCAGAAATTGCTTGACGCAGTCGATGTCTCTCTTGGTGCTTTAGATGCTCCAGTACACGATATAGCTGGTACGGAAACCATCTGCGAGACGCATTCAGGCGATGCTGCTGTCCCAGTGACGACTGAATCACCCTGCATTGATTCGGTGCGTGTCTCCCGTAGCCAATACCGTGTACTATATCATGCAGATACATTGTCTTCAGCCAACGAGTTCTACACCACCATATCCATTGGCGTTCAACAAGGCCTGCCGAAATCAGTGTCTGCGTTCACTTTCGAGCGTAGCACACGAGGCGCTCATTGGTGGATTTGGCCGATGGCTTCCCAGTCACATTGCCATGCGGTTTCGAGAGATCCAAGGATTTGATAATTACGACTTCTTAGAGGATCTCATTGACAATGGTGGGACGATCACAGCACGGACTAGTGAAGAGTTTTACGAGCTTTTTGGAATGTTAGAGATGGTGGTAAAATGCCGAGAGCTAAGGGTCTACCGTGGTAACATGGGACGATTTTTTATTGCAGTTGGTCACGCACTCTACACCACTCGCTATGACACTGAATGCCGGGTTGAGGATGGTCATGATCTTACCATCTCCATTCTCGCATTGGAACGCCATCAAACAGTGTCGCGCTCGTTTGTGGAACGCGAGATTCAAACAGACCTTGAGACTCGAGAAGAACTTCGATTCATCCATTCTGATACGCATGTGTCCGAGCTAGGACTCCATGCAGCACTATGTATCAATTATGGTGACCCCGCCATGCAACAAGTATCCATCGACGATCAATCCGGTTCCGACAGAGTCCACCAGGCTGACCAGGACCGTCACTGCACATACACAGTAGGCTGTCAAATGGAAGGTGCGTTGCTCAGCTACAACGATAGTCATGTGCCTGACGCGAGACGCCAAGCAGATTTCATTATCGTCGATGATCAACCATTAGGGAACATGGTCCCAGTTCCAATAGACCTACAGTCTGATTCTGACAACGTCCTGCGACCTGACGATGACGGACTATGCACATCGACAGTAGGTTCTTTTATACAAGGCGAGTCATTCATCCACTGAAGAGGACATATTACTGAGACCGTTGGAATTATAGACTTCGACATTCATGATTGTTACCATTCCTTGCAAGGCTTTCAATCGACCTGCAGTCTGATTCTGAAGTGGTAGTACGGTCTAATGAGGATGGATACGAAGGCGAATCATTCAAATTCACTAGCAGCCATATTCCAGAGCCGGATTGCCAAACAGCCGTGAATATTGACGATGGTCAACCTTCCATGCAGGTCATCCAGATAGACATGCAAACCGACTCTGCAGTTGGCTTGAACGCAGGCAGTGACGGCCTCCATACACGCATGGTAGGCAGTCAATTTCAGGTTGTGCCATCATTCGGGTTCTAACATAATTGTGATAAATTCAGGAGGACACAGAACTCGAGAACTCACCAGGAACCAAAGGTGAATGTAGGGCTGACGCTGGCGATCTCTCAACAAATCGTGCTCCTGATGACTCCAATGCCGCTGCTCAGCAGTCCAACCATATGTCCAGCGTCGGCGTCGATCACTCCAATGACGGCTTCGAGGGCACATATGCGGACGCGGCACAGGAGGAGGTGGTCAGATCCCCCTCGCCCCCACTCCAATCAAGACTGCGCACGCGAACTTCTAGCAGACAACCCTCAACGATACGATCAACAAAGAAAGGGGCAAAGCCGACCTCGAAGCGCGCCAGGCCTGTGGTGTTCGCTAAACCTCAGCATGCGCGAAAGGAGAACTCAAAAACTGTGACTAAACAGTCTAGAACGCCGGGATACACCATCCAAGACCTCGTTGCTGAGTCTGAGACACAGGCGACGAATGTAATGCCTTTCGTAAGTCGATCACACGGTGTCAATTCGAGTCTAGCTGAACGTCGACGTGTAGATGGACAGCTTTCTGATGGACCCGCAAGGATATAAAATGGTCCAGTCATCCATTCATTCAGACCACGATGCATGGTTGGCTGTGGCCAGACGCATAGCACAGCGCATGCGTGACAAGAGCATCCCCTCTGAGCTGATGCGATCAGTGGCCTCGTTCATGTCTATTGAATTGTGGTTCAACGACATTGCGAATGAGTGCTGCCAGGCACTGCACCGTCCTGTTTTCGAATTTGCGCTGTCTCCGTTGGTTTGTAGAAAGTTCGTATTTGTCAACGTCGCACTGACACAGTTGCTGGCAGGCACATTGCGTCCTGGTAGAACTTTCCAATCAAGCCATAAAGGACGAATCATCCGTACGACACGTGTTGCAACGTCTTTTGGTGACTCCATTTACTTGCTATTTTGGCCTCGAGCTGAACAATGTATCTACGATGCAGACTGCTGACGGTGGCAAGGGTGTGACTGCAGTAATCAAATATCTACTCCGCTCCTCTCAGCCTCGCGACGAGGATCCTTACGCACCTGGATTGCGGATTCTCGCATCAGTTCTGACGGAAGCAACAAGCAAGCACAAGGTGTAGGGCTTTGCAATGTGATGTATAATGGACGACAATTGGTGAACCTGATGTGACAACCGTGTACATACATTACAGAGTTTGACGTAGTCCAGCGTCATTGCATCACCCCAATGTTGGATCATTGTTCCTCAGTCAGTGGGGACTGATAACAGACACGCTCTATGATAAATCTGCGACTGAGACTAAGCTGCACAGATCCATGTGAGATATACTGGGGAAAAAAATAGATTACACGAAGTGAGAATGTGGCGCGAACCTCGAGATTCGCACCAAATGTTTGTGATATTCTAATCAAGTCACAAAGAAATGAAAATGCAAAGAGAATGATCACATTTTTACTATGTTTTCACCATGTTCTGATCATGTTTTGGAGGACATTTTCATTTGTTGTAATCTCGAGTCCATTTGACCGCAGCGGGTGCATACACATATATACCTGCATTCCGAATGGCTTAATAGCTTTAGTACAGTACCTATATGAGATGCATTGAGACCATAGCTAGAACAAAGCAAAGAGAATGAATTGATATATACTGTACATACTGTCTCTACATGCACGAAGCTCAACCATGCAGCGCTCGCCAATATCCTCCGACCTCGATTGTATTCGACTAATTATACTACATAACTAGCTATACACCCATAAATCGACAATGTCGATGTGAACATTGTGGTGTGAAGACAAGAACTAACACGAAGTAGGGCAGAGGGTTTTGACTTTGAATTTTTTCAAGTCCAGATGCATGTAAGAATATGATGGAAATGGCACGAGGATATGAAAATATACACCATATTATCATTTCGCGGTTCTTTAGTCAAAATACAGTGATAATCTAGCTAGAATGTAAGGTTCGTGTGACATTTCCACCGCTCGATAATTTCTTTTTTTCCCCAGTGTATATGGGTTAGTTGCTCGCAGATGTAAGATGGAATATGAAAACACAATCACAATGTACCCCAGAAGCATTGATACCGAACTTAGCACACTCATTTGATCAAGCCTTTGCATTGTTTATATGATTTTCATTAAATAAGCGACCAGCACATGTTCTGACAGACGGGTACACGTATGGAACAATATTTCTACCCTACAACAGAAGTACAAGCCGATACGAAGGAGGTCGGAGAAGCGAGACAGCCATAGACTCACTAATCACATCAGAATTCGCCATGAAATCGCGGGCCCAACAAGTTGTTATGTTCATCACAAGGGCGACCAGGCAAAGACAAGCAGATATTGAGGTTGACGGACACGCGAGAGAGTAACAGATGAGTGCAGGCTGGACGGGGCGCGAGGGACAAGCAGATGTGAAGGAGGATGAACAAGCGATCGAGCAACAGGAAAGAAGCGAGGACAAGCGATACACGGAAGAGTCGTAGGAGTGTGCAGGCAGACGGGACAGAGACGCGAGGACAAGCAGATATGAAGGAGGGCGAGCAAGCAATCCCGCAACACGCAACAACCAATGACAGGCGAAACGCAAGAGATTACCGGTTGTGTGCATGCAGGCTGGACGGACGTGCGAGGAGAAGCAAGTATGCAGGGGGACGAGGAAGCGAGCCAGCAACAGGCAACAACCGAGGACAAGCGAATGTGAAAGAGGAAGGAGAAGCGCGCCAGCAACAAGCGACAACCGTGAACTGGAAGGCACTGGCATCGCCAGAATGCACTCAACAAAGTGCGGGACCAACCAGTCTGAAGGTCAATCACAAGAAGCATAGACAAGCGAATGCGAAAGAGGAAGAGGAAGGAGAAGCGCGCCAACGACAAGCGAAAACCGTGAACTGGAAGGCACTGGCATCGCCAGAATGCACTCAACAAAGTGCGGGACCAACCAGTCTGAAGGTAAATCACAAGAAGCATAGGACAAGCGAATGCGAAAGAGGAAGAGGAAGGAGAAGCGCGCCAGCGACAAGCGAAAACCGTGAACTGGAAGGCACTGGCATCGCCAGAATGCACTCAACAAAGTGCGGGACCAACCAGTCTGAAGGTAAATCACAAGAAGCATAGGACAAGCGAATGCGAAAGAGGAAGAGGAAGGAGAAGCGCGCCAGCGACAAGCTAACAACCGTGAACTGGAAGGCACTGGCATCGCCAGAATGCACTCAACAAAGTGCGGG